GTCTTCTAGCCTCAGCCAACCTTTCCCCACTCTGGCAGCCTCCTTTGCATCAACTTCCTCTTTCCTTTCATAACCCTGCCCAAAGCAATTACATGACAGACAGCAACCTTATGTGACTGGAGTATTTTTTTGTTTGTTGCAGAGCATTTATGTCCTAGATAATAATGGAGTATGTCTTACTGAAGTATAAGCCCTGGGACAGGATAAAGTTGGCCTTCAGCGCTGTATACATTATCCTGCTGTATAGATTACTTAAGTATGGAAAAGGAAGGTAAATAGCAGGTGTTAAGGCTGACATTGCTCAGTTGCTTTGATGCCCATGCAGCTAACAGTTTGAGTGCAGAATTTATGGCTGTGACACTGGGAGCTACGCCAGGTGGCTTCTGGATTAACCCAGCTGGCCAGCGGCCACCATCTGGATCTAGTGTTTGCAATGGATTTGGAGAGGGTGTGGTTACGCTTGCTATGGACTGGCAAATGATGACTGTCAGCAGTGTAGGAATGTGGCTGGGTGCCTGGTACTAAGTGGAAACAGCAACTTCTGCTTGGCACCACAATTGCAAACACAAAGCTACCTGCGGCAGTTGCTTTTTTTTTTTTTCCTTTTCTCCCCCACCCCCACCACAAGCTAGCACCCAAGAACTTTGTCCCCATCATATCCCCTGCAGTTATGCTACTGAACATTGTTTCCCAGGAGACACCAAAAGATGCAATAAACACCTGAAGGTCTTGAGGTAACTTTCAGGGGTACCAACTGAGAATTATTAGAAATTCCACGGTGGCAAAGTTATAACAGAAGTTTCCTCAATATAGAGGACAGTGAGCTCCTTAGTAGGGCAATCTCCACAGGGGACCCTCAAGCCCTACCAAGCACAGCTTCCCTACAGCCAAGGGCACCCTTTAGTACACCCTGGCTTCCGGCCTGAGCCACTGCAGGCACGTGCCAGTATTCTTGAGTCAAGAGGGGATGGTTTATTCACTTGCAAATCAGTTCAACCTACACAAGTTAGAATCAATTCAGCTCTGGTTTTTTAATGCCTGTTCCTAGCCAGGGGGATAGGACATGATATGGGACTTGTTAATTATGGTATAATAATCTTGCATTATACTTGATGGGAATGAAAAAGGAAGTTAGTGGTTGAGTATTGTTTTAGATCTTGAAGAGGTCATGGGAGATGGGTGCTGCTGGTGTGTTTCGTTTTGTTTAAAAAAAAAAAAATCAATATTGATATGAGAAGTCTGAAAACAGCATAACTAACACCTACTCCCAACCACATTTTAAACACTTATGTTATGGCTATGTTTCTCTAAATTTAGGGATAGGGACTTAAAAAAAGTTGTTATTTTTGAAGCGTGTGTAATATACATCTATCTATCTATCTATATACATACATACACACACAGAGAATGTATATATGTATAAACAGGATTCTGCAAAACAGACTTCAAGCAAATTCAAATGCAGGTACTAAGATTTTACCTTATGTATTCCATCTCTTGCTTACATTGCGTCCAGAATTAATAATACACAAATATACATGTAGAATAAAAATAAACTTGAACCCGAAATTTTTACATACATCAACATATGGAATTTGGTTTTATTATTTAGGACATTATATGTGGTTTTACAAGTTGGAAACATAAGATACGCTGATATAGGCATGTTACTAGCAAAAATGCATTCAACATTTTTCAAAGTGGAAAAGTCAAAAGTAAATCATGCACATAATGTGAAATAGGTATGTATGTAAACCATATGTCATATGTAAGTGATCTATGTTCTGTGTCACATTCTTCAGGAAAGCAATTTCAAAAAAAGTTTCAGGCTCCTTAACCATCTTATTGGTTTGCTTTTTTATCTTGTAATCTCTTAAAGCTCCCCTAATAGTAATTCAGTTCATCTATACAAAACTTAAGGTTAATAAAAAAAATAGAATACAATAAAAGGCACTAATATAATTTAAAACAGCTCTCACTGCTATATCTACAATGCCATTGCTTCACATCAGCACTCTCAGATCTCCTTCAGCTAAAAGAAAAATGACTGCATCACAGGGACAAACTTACGAATTAAATCTTGACAATGGTTTCCAACTTTGATGCATCATAGTTGAACCATAAGCCAGTTAATGGAACACTATATATTCTGCCTGGACATTAAACTAATGCGAGTTTCAGAGGGCAGTTCCATATTTGGGGAAGGTAAGATACTGAATTTAGAATCTGTTAGAAACAGCCCCAGTGGGGACAGGTTAGAAGTAGAATGAAGGTGCGATTTTGATAAAATCCAGTTCATCATAATGCTATTGCTAATCTATGTGATATACACTGGTCGTATCTTAGATGCACTGGAATCTGAAAGGCTAGAAACTTTCTAGGAAGAATAATTTTTAAACATGATTTACTTTACAGCCTTGAATTCTGGTGTAAACAGGAACTGGAAAGCCTCTTACAATATCTGCATTTAATTACAGACTGTAGAGGAAATTACTAATATTACCTGTCTGCGTAAGTTCTCCCATTTCGCATGAAGCATGACTGGGGTAGCGTGGCAGGCTGCTTAAGGTACTATCCATTTGGGCTTCAGATCCTTTGGACATATGTCTAATGAAAGCCTCAAGCTGAGGATGAGAAGGCTTCCTAAAGAGGTAAAGCAAAACAGGAAACTCTCAAACACATGAAAAAACTACTCAAGAAAAACTTCTAACTAGGTCAATTAAGATTATTTCAAAGTGAGGTGACATATTCTATTGAAAAAAACTTCTGTTCATTATCCATTCTATTAAAGAAATCCCTATGGTGATCCACTGATGGTGACAAAAACCAAGCCGGAAAAATTCTATGCGTTTGAAAACCAAGTTAATTACAGTTTGATTTTATAAAGAGAAATTCTCAAAATTCTCCCTTATACTCTCATGCCATAATTTATCCAGATTTTTTAAAGTGATGTTTCTATTGACTTTTGTTACATTAATGCACCAAATCTGATATGAAAACTCATGCCTAGGAAAATTAAGAATTTTCCCTTAAAAGTTTTTTTGAGCCACTAGAGGGTGCGACAACACCATGTTAAAAGAGCATATTTGCTGGAGTCCGATTTTCTCCAATACAAACGTTAGTGTTCACACAGGTTCCAGTGCAAAGACATAGAAAGAGAGAGAGAGAGAGATCTTTATTTTAAATAAAAAGAGAAGAAAGGTATTCTAAAAACAAACAAGCAGCAGCACCTCATTTAGAATCAAAATGTCCCTTCTGAACAGTTTGGTTTTGTAAGTTTAAAGAGACTTGAAAAGGCATAATGTTCTACATTTTTATAAAAGACTTGGGGGAAAAAAGGTGTTTTGACATTAGAGTACAAATGCAAACAAAAAATTGTTAAGCAAAAGTAAACATGAGCAAAAAACAGAAAGAAAAAAAGATAAATTTTACAATGCAGCCTAAAAGATAGGGGGTGAAAGAACAAATAAGTGATAAGTTAGCTAATTCCACAGCTGTTTCCAGATTTTGGTATTTTATGTAAAAGTGCAGCATGAGGAAGTTATAGACATATGAAAAATGTCTTCTTCATTCTCCTGATGTGTCAGCGTTGAACATCATCTACAAAGCTTAATTCTGTTCTGGATTTAAAATGAGACCTCACAGCAACAGGATTGCTAAATGAAAGAATTAAATTTAGCAAAAAGTACAATCCCATCCAGGAGTGTATGTGTGTGTGTGTGTGTGTGTGTGTGCGCGTGTAACTGCCAAAGATCCCATTAACACATGCGTATGCATATAAAAATGCTGAAGATCCAGTTAACATGCGTAAACTGCATCCGACTCGAGGGCCTGTGGCAACGTGGTGGGGTAGCTCCTATTAAATATTTCTTCCTCCAGAGTAAGGCGAATTTAGGTTACCTCAAAACCCTAGTCCCACTGCCTTGTTAGTATTCTTTTTTTGGAAAAATGTGAAGGAACATCACTCTGACTGAAACATGGCCTCAGCAACAGCTTTAATCTGTTGCTTTCTGGCAGAAACTACAACCATCGAGGAACTGAACATCTGGACTCGGTTTGGCCTTCAGACTGTCTCAGTGGTCTAAAGGGGGATGGTAGGTCAAAGGCAGCCTCCACTCCTCCATACTCTTGCCTAGGCATATGCACTGAAGGTCTTGATGTCATCTACACTGGCCAAAATGAATAAAGCAACTTGTATGTTGGAATGACCTCGAGTTCAATTTGGACTCAGATTTATGGAAAACAGCACTACTTAACTATGAATTGGTTAGATTTGGAATTGACATTGCTGCATTATCAGAAATTCAGCTCTAAAATACAGGTTCCACCAAGAGAATGATTATACCATATTCTGATGTGGGAGACAGGCCGAAGAATGGAGAGAGCAGGGAGTAGGCTTTTACTGTTGGAAACAGCTTACTATCTTTCTGCGTTTCATCGCTGTATCTATTCGACTCACGATGCTCAGAGTGCATACAAAGAACAACTTCATCATGTTGTTTCGTGTCTGTGCGCCTACCCTTCAAGTTAGCAACGAAGACAAAAACGTTTTCTACCAACAACTTGAAGAAGAGATTGAGAAAACTCACAAGAGATCATTATAATATTTGGCAATTTCAATGCAAAAGCTGGATGTAGTTTTAAGAATTGGCCTGTTATTCTGGATAACCACAGAATTGGTAATATGAATGAAAATGGCCAATGTGTGCTATAACTTCGTGCAAGTCAAAACCTATATTACCAACACATACTTCACTGGGAAAAATCGCAAGACAGACATTTGAAAACATCCACGATCAGGACACAGGAACCAATTAGATCTACTACTGACTAGGCATAACCACCTAAAAGAAATCTTGCTTATGAGGTCTTAACAGTGCTGACTGTGACACTGACCATGCACTGTTTTGCTGCAAAGTCAGAATCAATGTAAAAAAGATCCACTATAGCAAAACTATCAGTTGCCCTCAGATAGACATCAGCCAAACTAAAGCCATAGAAAACTGTAGACTAGTCTAGGAAGAACTTGTGAAAGCAAGTTTACCTAACAAGTCAGTCACTGAGGCATGCGAAAGCTTAAAAACCAACACGTACAATGCTACTAGAACAGTGTTTAGCAAAAAATGCAAGAAAAATTCAAGCTGGTTTGAACAGCACTCTGAAACCCTTCTATCTCTAGTTGAGAACAAAAGGA